CATTTCCAGACACCTAGGGAGATGAAGCTTAATAATTGAGAGGAAATGCAATAGAAAGCTAGATTGGCAGCAGGCAGAATCCAAGAGGACAGTACTGGAATCATTAAGCGAAAAAGGTGAGCAAGGGGGAAAAATATGAGCCAAGGTATATGATGGGGGAAAAAAGGATAGAATAGATTTTTATTTCTTACATTACAAAAATCCTATACTGCAGAGGCTCAGCCAGGAGAGTAAAAGGGTTCCTGTGCTCTGCATCAGTTTATTGTTCAAATTTGTAAGTGACATGTAATAGGTACTGGCATACTATAGTTGCAATTTTAAGTGGGCACTCATGTATATATATATTTTAAAATCTAGTTCGATTTTAATTCAGGAAAGATTAGAACCCCGGGAATTGTTTTAAAAGTAAGAACATTCAAAATCTGGCATCTGGAAATAGGACACAAATATACTCAACTGAGGAAAGAAAGATCGCCAAGTGGTGGTTATTGACATAAAAGAAAAAGGTTCAAATAACAAGCAACTATGACAGTATTTATGCTAAGAATCCATCACAAGATCCCAACCTCAAAAAGCACATCAGGGAAGGTTCATTCTATTGATAACCATTGGTAAAACGACTCTAGTGCAGTTACCTGGGAGTTTAATATTGTATTTTTCACTTGTGTAAAAAAAAAAAAAACTAAGCACATTTGAGGTTGAAGTTCCTTCACCAGTGGAATCCAAAATAGTTTTTAAATTCATATGTAAAAGTGGTAGATGAATTTTTGATTCTAAAATCTTGTTCTAATTCTAGAATTCAAGTCCTGATGGCCAGCAGGGTGTACCAGATCTTATTCATCTGTGTCCCTTTCAAAATTTGAAAGACCCTTCTAGAATACCTTACAGCGTGGTTGTCATTGGACTAAACACCTACCAATGGTACATGGGATTGGAAGGGCTATGTGAGTTGTGGGTCCCAAAAGCGTTGTGCAAGTTGTGTGTGTGAGCTGTAGATCCTAAGAAGCTAAAAGTCTCAGTGTCCTTGACATACAGAATTGTAGGTCTTCATCTCTGAACCTTAGTTTGTTTTATGACAATCTTGTATTGTTTTTTTTATGATAGTGCAGATTACCAATAAAGATTGGAAATGGATAGTATAACATGCTGTTCCCCACTTGACTGGGGAAAATTGGTTCAAAAGGTATTAATGTGGAAAGAGTCTTGCTTGTGCTTGTTCACTTGAAGCTGTTTGAGGCAGGAATGTAGTAAGTCTAACTGGGCTTAGGATTCTGGGATGTCATCCATATAGCCGGCTTTCTGGTCAAAGGGTAAACTGGTACTAAATACAGAACAAATTCAAATGCTGACCAGGAAGATTCAAGTGCACCATGTCTCCTGGTTCTGTTACCTCCTGCCGGATGTTAATTTAGCTTTCCAGTCTTGTTTAAAGTGCTGGGATTTCCTGGCTGCCTCCCTTCCAAGTATTAACCAATCTAATCCTGCTTAGCATTTTCAAGCTCATTTTAAGATTCTTAGGAAGCAGCAACTACACTTCTAACGAAAGAAGGCAGTAAGACAAGTTCATTCTTTACTATCGACAGCCTCAAATGCCACGGTGGCTTAAATTAACACACACTTTCCCTGCATGCAAGTTTCCAAACCCCACAGTAGCTTGACAAAAATGATTTTGTGTCTTCGAATCAGTCTTGACTCCTGGTAATTGAACAAATCCCTGCAGTAAGAATTTTGGAAGCGGCTTCATGCTGCTTTCTTCCCAGGATGGAAAAAAAAGAGAAACTGGGCTAAAGTTAGCCAGCTGGCTAAGACAGAAGAACTAGTCTCCTAGGTTGTAACCTGGTACTTTTAACCATTATACCAAAATATTAATTCCTCAATTGTGGTTCTTCTCTGAATTGCCTAGGTATCATCAGCTCCCGCAAGAAGAACCGATCACTGGACTGGAGAATGAAACATTACAGCTTGGTCCAGAACAATCCATGACACGGCATCACATTGAAGAGGTAAACATAGCAATGAGTTTATCAACCACAACAAAGGGCTCCAAACTCTTTGGGGCATCTGCGTGATCCTTCAGATCCCTTGCCTGATTTAATTTACACCCTTACACCACATCAAAGGTGATACAGTAAACAGGAATTACCAGTTTGTCTTCTCCTGAACATTAGCCGAGAAGGGTGTTGAACGCTGGAACCTCACCAGATATGCAGAAAAGCCAAATGTGTTTTTCTTCTTGTTTCTTTCCAACTTTCTCCTTTTGCAGGCTCTCGTGGTGTTGCAACTCCAGGGTAACATCAATGTCCTGTTCCTGGAAACGTGGCAGGAATTGGCCCAGCATGTTTCTGGAGTGACCAAAGCTGTAGCTCAGCGTCCTTATAAGTGAGTGTCAGTTGTCAGGTTGCCTTGGCAATGCTTTGGAGCTGTGAAGTAAGGACCAAAGGCCAATCCTTTCATGAAGAAATCTAACCTGTAATGTGAGGTTTTTGTGTGACTTTATCTTTGCGGGACCAGTAAGGTTTGTTTCTTTAAAAAAAATATTCAGTGTTTCGTGTGATACTGATACAGCTACGGGCTTGATTTACGCTGCACTGTATTTAGAACCAGTCACAAAATATGCTTTTGCTTGTTTGGTTCTGCCTTGCTTGCAGTGGTTAGGGTTACACAGTCCATCGATAATACCTACTTGGTGTTAAATGACGTTTTAGCAGGGAACATTCTGAGCCCCAAATGGTCCCAGCTCAATTTTAGGAACGGGACGTTTTGACCAGCATGGAAACTGTCTGACTCAAGACAACCTTTGGAACAGGTTGTTGTGAGGTCAGTTCCGACAGGTTAAGCCAAAACGGCAGCCTATGTATAATTGGTACCTAATGGCTTCTTCGACAGGAAACATCAGGAAAAGCAGCCCTTCTCCTTCTGCGCCAAAGGCAAGTGGGCTAGCGGTGTGCATATTGGCAAAGACGGGAAAGGGCTCCAAGAGACCTGGCGGAAACAGATCCAGCAGTTCAACCGAGTCAGTCCAGCCATGGCAACAGCTATTGCCCAAGCCTACCCTTCGCCAAGTCTGCTGCTGCGGGTCAGTTCCTTCCACCAGTCGCTTTGTCTTGGCGGTAGAGAAGGGAAATCGAGGGAGGTAATTCTCAAGAATAGGGGCTAAATGAGTCATCAGATTTCTGTTGTCGCAGAGTAGGATTACGTAGGCTGCGAGTAAAAAGCAGAGATTTCAGCAAGGGGGAGGGGGAGAAATACTAGTGGGATGCTTAGATGTTACACTGTCGAGGATAAGCCACTCCTAGTAAACTTCATTCTATTCTCTTTGATGGCCAGTTTCTTATTATTCCAAGCCTATTGAGTTCTCCTGGGTGAGGAAGCATTTCTGGACTACGGGTTTTTTTTTCCTCCTCAAAATTTCCATGCAATGCAAGCCAGTTTCTTTTGCTTCTTGTTAGCCACAGGGCTTCTGTTTTGTTTACATAAGGATCCTCCTTAAGAAAACAAATTGTAGATCAGATCTTTAATGATAAAAGCCATAAACAAACTCATAAATTCCACCGGACTTAGACTTAATGCTGAGTTTTTCTTAACCAAAGCCTTGTTAGTGTTGCTCCAGATCTGTTTTCCTCGTAGCAAACCAGTCGTGCTTACTTCATCCCTTTTGCTACCAAGAGCTCTTTTCTTTTCTAGACAATTAAGTTTTAAAAGGGAGAAAGGTGGTTAGCACTAACATCACACAGGCACTTTCTTTCAGGCCTACCAAGAATGCAATACAGAGGCAGAAAGACGACTTCTCCTAAGCAACCTCCAGGTCACAACTGAGGACAATAAAACGGAGAGACGGATCGGCCCAGACCTGTCTCGCCGGGTCTATCTTTTCATGGTATCTACAAATCCAGAGCTTGTCCTAGATTTAAGTTGTTGAAGCACCTTGCTGTGCTGTTCTGACCACTGGGTCATAGCTCCTTAGCCTTGTAACTTACTGCCGAAGCTATAGGATTTATTGCAGAAACCGAGTTTGGCAAAAGCAATAAATGTCTTCGTGCACAAATGCTATCAACGAGCCTCTCTTGATGGTGTATTTTTTTAAATTTCCATTCTTCTGCCAAATAATTTATTTTACGCTATTATATATCATTATGCTGCTTGTTTGAATTGGGTACATTTTGGGGGTTCATGCATTAAACCGTAATGTGGCTTGGTGGCAATATGTTTGAGAGAACCTAGCTTGTGTATAAAAGTGAGAATGGGTATTTTACGTATAGAAAACTTTTTTTAAAAAAAGGAACACCAATATTTAGTGCAATCTTAATCCCAGTTATCAATTCCGTGAAATGAAAGCCCGGCGTTTGCTTTCATTTAATCAGATGATACAAGAGAGTTGGAAGGGAATCTATTATACTGCCAAATCACACAGTGGTTAAATTCAGAAATTAATACTAATCCATGATTTATTACAAAACAATGCAGCTTTGTTCCCTTCATACACCTCCTTTCACAATGAACCATACTTTGTCATTTGCATTAAGTGTAGGAGAAACCAAAGGGAACGTAATTGCCCTTGTGCTTATCCATACATGAAAAATATCAAGAGAGCCTTTTCTGGCTACCCACATAACCATAAGTCAAGTCATCATTAGGGAAAGATCATACCAATACTGGCTTTTAAACTGCAAAATGCCCCCGTCAGTGTGTATCCTTGCAGTTAAGTTTTTAATGACACAAATCAAAGGAAGAATTGGAATATTTAAACTTACCTCCCCAGAAAATATACATGGGATGTGAATACCTCTAAATAAGTAAATTACAGTTGGCCGTGAAAGAGGAAATGCAGGACTCAAGATCCAGAAGAAAGCAGGGCCATCCAGAGCTGAAGTTCATTCACATCATTCCAACTGCTAGCCTGATGTACGTTTGGATCAGATAATTAAGAATTAGGGACCCTGATTAGAATTTCTCTGAGATGAGAGGACAGTAAGGTGGATGGACTAGCCTATCATCACTGATCAAAGTCTGCATATATTTTAATTCATTTGGGTATAGTTCAATACAGGAGAAGTAATAGACATGCAAAGAAGGTTGAAGAGTTGCAGGGCTCACATGATACCACTTACGCTGTCAAAGGTTAACCTTCTCTTCTGAATACCAAAGCACTGAAAATCGAGGCGAGCCTGCTTGCTCCTCGGCTCCAAAACACTGGAGCCCTTTACTGCAATTCACATAGCACGTTGTGGTAGCTTTTGAGGTTTCTCTAAGCATTCCTTTGGCTGCAGGAAGGATTACTTATTGATACACGGGGCTGCCGAAAGCCTGACATTCGAACAACCTGTTCCAGGAAACGTGGCAAACCAGAGTTGATGACCTGCTGGCCACGTGGTTACAATGAAGCTGTGGAAAGTGCTTTGTCTCTTTAATGGTAGATTGAAATGGGCTTTAGTGTTCAAATAGGATACAGTCGGGAAGGTAAAATGTCACTCGGTAACACTGAGGGAACAGCCTATCCTTCATGACAACACTGTCTTTCGAAGGGGGGGAAATAAATTAAGTCCTCCACCGGCATCTCTTCCGATGGCGTGCCTCAGCATCTGAGCCGCAAGAGTTGTCTGAATCGCTTCCTGAGGAGGTAGAGGAGGAGGAGGAGGAAGAGGAGGAGGAGGAGGAGGACTGGAGCGAGCCACAGTTCATGCTCAACACCCAGCCCAGTCTGTTGTGCAAAATCTGCTTGAGTCCTGGAGGGAGGGGGAGCACCTCTAGCGTGTCCACGTAGTCAGGAAGCAGCTGGCGGAGACGGTAGCAGCAGAGGTATTGCAGGGAGGTGGGGGTAGCACAGGAGCGGATGATTTTCATGCTGCTTTTGGCTGCAGTCGAGCACACCATCGGGTACACCCTCTTGTTCTGGAGCTTGGTGGCAGCCACACCTGAGTCACAAAGTCAGCAAAGAAGTCCAAGGTTAACAGGCAGGCATGGAATGGGGTGTGTGTGTGTGTGTGTGTGTGTGTGTGTGTGTGTGTGTATAGAGACTGTCTGGGGGTTGCAGTTGCACTTCCTTTATCCCATTAGCACTTCTACAATGAGATCTCCCACTTTAGGCCACAAATACTCTACAGCTGCATGGTTCGGTTGTCCTTTTCTGTGGACACAATTGTGAACGTCGACAAATCCAGTAACCGAGCAGCTGACTTATAGTCATTTTACACGTATCTTATTTGCTATACACTTTTCCCCAAACAATCTGTTAAACAGATTAATATAATTATTCCCTTCTAGTGTACATTATGCTACGCAGGTTAGTTTTCATCAGGTAAATACTTAAGTGGTCCTTTCAAGGAGGCTGTACCTCAAGATATCCTCTCTCCCCTATTAAAATAAACGGTCTGATTTTGGAATGGAAAACAATCTGTTGCCTTTTAGAGATCCTCCCATAACTTTTATCCACATATTTCCCATATTTCACTAGGTTAAAAGTATATATGGTCTCTTCCACCTTACCTATACACTTCCTGTTTTTGAAAAAGGTTAAAGTTCCGTGCCATGTGTCCAGATGCACCCCAATAATGGAGCCCTGCCCAAACCTTGTTGAAAAATTGCTCCGTTCCCCCTTGTGCTGGAGGAGTCCTACGGAGAAAGGGACATTTGCAATTATAACATTGTAGGTTTCTAATTTCTGCAAAGGTAAAAAGGACCCTATATAGAGTTCATCTAGCCTTGTTTAAGATAGTTTGTAAGTCAAGAGGCAAAACAAGATTCTCATCAGATAGTTATCTGCTTACCTAAACCCCTCTAGCAAAGTTCACGGTCTTCTAAAACAATCCATTTCCTTTCAACAGTTTTTATTAGTTTCACACACACAAAAAAAACACCCCGTTTAGCCATTGATCCATTTCCTAGACCTACAAAGAACAAGCCTGGCATGATTTCTACAGGACGGCATTTTAGATATTTAAAAACACATTTCCTAAAATAACATTTAATAAAGTGAACATTTAATAAAGTGTCCAAATAATTTGGATTTTTTTTTATGTTCTAGTCCCAAGGCCTAGAATGCCTGAGATGTGTTTTGCCAGCAATTTTTAGAAATCAGTCTCTAATAAAGAGGAACAAACTTTCTCTGTGGATGCCAGAAAATGCGCTCTTAACGTTAACTGAACAATATTTGCAAATTAACTATTACAAAGGGACAGTTACATCCACACAAAACTTCAGGGAAAACAGTTCTTGTATTTAGGTGTAAGCTCTAAAAATTCACCTGTAAATTAAAAATCTAGATATAAATAAACAAAACCTTTGCTGTTATTACCTGTGTAGGAAAGACCCCAGCTGTCTTCATCTTTTCCCAACAGGCTACAGAATGTGTGACGGAATTTATCCAGGTTCACGTCTGATGTTCCAATTCCCACCATCTAGAGGGGAAGAAAAACAAAAGTGATCAAATGTTAGTCTATACATAACTACTCATTTAGTAACTGCTCAAAAGTTAAGACAGCACTGAATGTTGTGTGAACTTTTAAAGTCTGTTATTATTATAATTACAGCCCTGAATACAGAAGAACCTCTGGTCACGACCATAATTTGTTCCATAACTTTGGCGATTTCTTCATCTTCTGTTTTGTCTTCAGAAATTTCTGAGTCGGGGGTCGTGTTTGATCGCCACCCTAGTATGTGTTTGTGACCAGATTCAAAAAAATTGTGAATTTTTTTGGTCAGAACCCGATGTGGCCGTGGCCAGAGTACATGGTAGAACCCTGGCATATCCTTATGGTCACATGATTGTAATTTGGGTGTCTGGCACTTGGCACACATTTACAACTGTCACAGGAGCCCAAAGTCCTGTGCTCTCTATTCGTATCTTTTCACAGCTGATTTCCAAGCAGCAATGTCAATGGGAAAGCCAGCAGGAAGTCACAAGCCAAGGTCGTGTGACATAATTAATAACCCATTGTGATTCACCTAATGACTGCAACTAGAACTGACAAACTGTCATTATAAGTTGGGCATGGTCATGTATTCTTTTTTATTTTTAGCATACCATGCTCACGAGCCCAATCTCTGGAGGTTTAAAAATCACAGTGTATGGGTTAGTACTCTGTACAAACAAAGCAGATTTATTTAGCCATTTAATCCAGTAGTATTCTGTTCTAAGATTTATTTATCACCTGACAGTTTCTTCAGCTAGAAATACCAGAATTTGAACTTCAAAATCTTCCATATACTGAAAAGGCTCCATGGACCATTCAGTCTCCTCCCACAACACTGCCACATCCAGACAGCAAGGACACTATATGGAAAAACTGTGATGACTCAAGGTGGGATTGTACACAAGGACAACAACTGTATACTGCGTACTCAGCCCATGTGCATATAAGTGGTTTCCTCACAAAAAGGTCCAGTTCTCACAAATGCAGCGCAATTACCTCGCAACATTAAAATCCAGTCCCTGTCCTTCTCCTATACTGGCAGCAATTCAATGCCATCTAGCGCTTATGCCAGCAAGATAGTGGCTTTGTTGATACTTGATCATCCTCTGTGATATCTGACTGCATTTTTTTTTAAAGAAAAAAGAAAAATTGGATACAAATTGGAGTTGGTGGAGCAAAATAGGTCTTAAAAAACAAAAATTAAAGACAACAAACAGTGCTACTGTAACTATTCATAATGTATTCAATGTAAATGCTGCCCCTCCTCTTCCAGTGACAGAAACCACTGAAATGTAATTATTGATGAATCTTACTGCATTTTTTTTAAAAAAACCGGTTACAGTACCTATTGTCAGGTTTTATCCAACATACCATGTCAGTGCCATAGACGGGTGAGGTCATCTTGATTTCCCAGAAGTGCTGACCCTCTGCTAGTTCCTTGTTCCCCCGGATGGCAGCAGTACCACAACTGTAATCCATGTGGAAATTCACCTTACGATTGTCACAAGTCAAAAGAGTATTCGCCGATTTGTTCAATTCATCCCATACCCAGTCAAAATCTTTGGAGAGAAAGACATGGAGAGAAAAGTGGTATGAACGGGAAACATCTCCAACAATTTCACCTCAAGTTATCGCCTGTCAATTTGATCCTAGTTGAAGAATTTGAAAAAAAAATCAGTGTAGTTCTGTGATTTTCAAATGTAGTCTCAAGACCACTTTACAGATGTGTGGACTTCAACCTCCAGAATTCTACCATATGTCTAAAAGTGGCCAAGTTTGAAAAGCACTGATTTAATTGCTAAAATTATAACTACATCCCTGGATATATTGCAGCACATATTATAGCAAAAACTGGACAAGATTTCTATTTCCCCCCAAATGTTCCCCTGTGCGTTTGTGTCACTTTCCAAATATATACTTTGTACACCTATAGCTCAGCGGAGCCTGAAAGGATCAACGAGCAACCCAAGAAAGAATACAGAAGCTTCCTCACAATCATCTTCCTCTCCACACTGGCAATCTTTCATCCGATGAGCCATGTGGAAGTTAGAGCAATATGGAGTTTCGTTCTGGTTCTCACAGTTGCAGTAAGACTCTCCTGTCACAGGTATAGCTGTAGGGATGGAAGGCAACTGAGAAGGAAATTCTGATTCTGAATCAGAGTCGCTGTGCTGCTGGAGAAAGAAAAAAGAATTGTTACCTTTTCCTCTTATTCTAAGAAAACATTTAGCAACAACAGGGATCCCTGGGGAAAACATAAGGTTCACATGCTCTGGGTGTCACACAGTGATGGGATTCAAAAAAATTTACAACCAGTTCTATGGGCGTGGCTTGCTTGGTCATGTAACTGTGGGTGTGACTTGGTTGTCATGTGATTTAAAACATGCTTAAAGAAATCGCATTTTTTTCCTGGGCTCGCACAGTTGCAGCATGAATCCAAAAAACAGTGTGTTGAAGTTAATGTATTCCTGGCAAGCGCTACATGTGCACTGACATGCATTCTGAGCACTGCATATGGTCTCCGAATTCAGTTCATTGTATGAATGTACAATCCATCGGAATTTACAACAAAAATCTGATGAAAGTGTGGAGTGTCCCAGTGGAATTGTATCTTACAGACAGTCTTACAGAAAACAAAGCATACTTCACCTGTCCATCAGTGTCAGATGACCAGCCATGGGTTCCAGAAGCCGTTGGAAAAGTCCGTGTATCCGATTCTCGGCGCACTCCACTCAGAACATAGCGCCAAGCTCTACTATTGCGCATACGTCGCGCCATGGCCTCTTTGGAGAGGTAATCTGGAAGGCAAAGCAAGAACTTACTCACAATGCCCTCTTCAAATGAATTGTCTCAATGTGCAATATTTTTTCCTTCAGATAAACATTACATATTAAGGTATATTCTGTGCAGAGAGAGAGAAGATATAGTAAGCTATATTCATAGGAAAAAACAATTGAATCTCCACCTATCAGCTAGTGCCAATTTTATCGCCCTAGACTTAAAGAGAGAACATGCACTCCACCACAAAAAAGCATAGGAAATAGGATAGTAAATAATCTTTGGCCAAGATGAATGAGATCAAAACCAACAGGAACAGAAAAAATAGAGTCTAGAATACTGTTTCTAAACTGGCTTGAAATAACCCACAATGTTTAAGCCAATTCTCAGGGTTTTTTTTTCCTTCCATCAAAATTCTTCTGCAGTAGAAGAGAAGCCATTAAATACACAGACGAAGGCAGGAAATAAGACAGCTGTTCTTAAATAGGTTGGACTGAAGTAGTTTGTTAAGGACATTGGATAAATTACTGACTTTAGTAAGCAGGAAAATGACCATATGTATTAATGTCCAGCTTATTACAATACTCCCCCATCTATTTCAGAGCTCAATCAATCCAACTCAAAAATTTCAAAGCACATTTTTTCCATTCTCAGTCCATAGTAGCAGTGATATGGCTCAGCAAGTAACTACTACCCTAACAATTCCTGGATGTGTAAAAACACCCCCATACTTACTAATGTTTACATTTTCTAGGACTCCTCACTTCCAGTCAATTCACAATGATAGTAGAGAGAGACCTAAATGTTACTTGAGCTAAGGAGTATTCAATATTTAATGTTCCTAGATCTGCCTAACACAAGCATCATATAACAAACAGCAAACCTTATGATTAAAGTAACTCAAATGAGTGATCCAATACATTCTGCTAGACAGCTCAACTGAGCTGCCTCAGGAGAAGATTACTGCAAACATTCCAGTGTATGTGAAGGCAGTAGTTTTAAAAACTAGGATGGGAAGGTGTCCAAGCAGAAAATGAGCTAAACACAAACAACAAATACTAAGTATGCTAAAGCAAATTCAAAGGCATCAGCTCCTCCAAAACTGCCTTTCACTGTAAGAAAACTTATTACCAAAAGGAAAAAGCTTGAATATGAATGGGGAAAGAAAAAGATAACAGAATAGAGTAGAGTAGAATAGAATAACAGAGTTGGAAGAGACCTTGGAAGTTTTCTAGGCAGGAAACTCTACACCACTTCAAACAAATGGTTATAAAAACTTCCAGGGTTGGAACATTCACAATTTCTGAAAGCAAGTTGTTCCACTGATTAATTGTTCTAATTGTCAGGAAATTTCTTAGATTTTGATCATTCTAAAATGGGTATTTCAGGCTATCCAGATTTATAATCTAACTAGCATGTCTTCAGAATGTCAAAAGATAGTCATCAACCTTAGTCAAGAAAGCAAGACAAGGTTTAGCATTACAGAACAAACAAAAAACTATTAAGGATATTTATTTATTTTTGAAAAGCCCTAGGTTAGTATCTTTTTTTAAATCTCACCCTTCCTTTGGAAGCTTAAGAGTGCATACCACTCCTTCCTCCCATTTTTTTCCCATAACAATGCTGGGTGATAAGCTGGGTGAGGGAGAGTCTTTCAGAGCTTCTGTGAACAGATGCACAGGATATTTTCTTTGATAACCGCATTTTTTATTTCTGGAACCACCTTCAACAATGACTTCCATATGCAAACAAATGCAAAAGAATGGAAATCAGCCAGGCTTGCATATATTTGCTACAGAAAACCTAGTCACCACCAATTGCAAACAAAACTTCTGTTTACAAAATACAGGTTTTATTATTTATTTTAGTCCTCACTTGAAAGGCAATATTCTCACAACTTCTTTCAAACCCACCTGTAGAGAACTTCCTTGCAAATTGAAAGCAGAATATGAAGTATTTTTAACAGTGAAAATGAGAAAACAAGAAACAAGCACATCTCTAAGCACATATCCAACCCTGGGAGTTTTCAATAAGAGATTGGACATCCACTTGTATGAAATGAGCAGGGGGTTGCACCACCAGAAGAACCTCCAAGGTCTCTTTTAACTGGATTGCTTTCTTTGGAAACAGAATAACAAACTACCAAAGAGAATTATCAGCTCAAACTATTTCATCCTATATTTTTTTCTCCAAAATCTTGGAAAGCAATATTGAGATTCAGAATCCCAACAGTCTTTTCCCTCCCTGGTGCCTTGCCAAGTCCACACTTAAACTATCCATGAAAAATAATTTCTAAGGAGACTTCAGCTTCCCTGCTCAGCCTTATTATTATTATTATTATTATTAAAATCCACATGCTCTGTTGAAGCAGGATAATAAAAAGACCACCACTACTTGGAGGAGTATTAAATCAAAACCTTAAATAACTTTAAGGTTAAGCATTTCAACGCACTTGGGGGGGGGGGGGAAAGCTGCCTCCTTTTGTGTTAACTTCAATGTCCAAAGGCCTTTATTGTCATTGTACATCATGTATACAACAAAATTGGTTTAGTCTCTAAATTGGTGTGGTCCATACAAGAATACAATATGAATAACATAAAATATAATACAACTATATATACAATATATTGTACACAATATATATAATCTGAGAAGCCAAGGATGGAAGAGCAGCATACAATTAATAAAATTGCGATAATTGTCCCAACTAATGAGGAGGAGGAGTAACCTGAAGGGAAAGAAGGCAGAGGGGAGGAAAAGCATTAAAAAGAAAGAAAGAAAGAAAGAAAGAAAGAAAGAAAGAAAGAAAGAAAGAAAGAAATGAGGAAGAGAAAGAAAGAAAGAAAGAAAGAAAGAAAGAAAGAAAGAAAGAAAGAAAGAAAGAAAGAAAGAAAGAAAGAAAGACGGAAAGAAATGAGGAAGAGAAAGAAAGAAAGAAAGAAAGAAAGAAAGAGAGAGAGAGAGAGAGAGAGAGAGAAAGGAAGGAAAGAAATGAGGGAGGAAGAGAAAGAAAGAAAGAAAGAAAGAAAGAAAGAAAGAAAGAAAGAAAGA